GCAAAAAGTAAATATTAAGAGTTCATTAAAAAAACAATTGATAGGGATAAAATCATTTTTTGAGGAAATGTTTTACAACGATTTTCATTTTAAGATTACCTTAAACTTCCCACTATTACATTTGATAGGCTTCCTGTAAAAAAGGGGTATCTCAGTTTCTTGCCTTTTTAAAGATCCTTGTTTTAATGATTTAAACAAAGATTACTAAAAATCATTCTACTAATAATTTGCAATGGTTCCTTTTGTTAAAACAGTATTTCTTGATAGCCAAGGCAGAGTTTTAAATCACAGCCTACAATTTCTATGAGCTGGTACGCAAATTGTGCATCTACTTTGAGTAAATTGGTAGCCTCAATTAATACCAGGGTACTGTTCTATTTTAAGAAGCCTTTTATAAGCTTAGATTGGGTTTATGCGCTAGCTATGCTGAGTTGCGGAGAGTGGGGTGGGCTAGCAGGAGGATTTAAAAGAATTGGGCGCCAGGTAGCAAAGCTATCCCCAAAGCTAAAGTAGTAGTATAAGTGATGAAATATGTGTATGGATACCACAACATTTATTAAACATTTAAACATAAACAAAGATAGCAGACACTATAGAACTAGCTTGAAAAAGCAGTAGAAGTACATGAGTACTGAATATGAAAGCAGTAGTAGTACATGAGTACTGAATGTGAGAGCCCCGACCAACGCTCAACACAGTGGCGATCAACCTGACTCAATAAGCTAAATCCAAATAAGATCTTAAGAATCGCCCCCATAGAATGTGAACACTTAAACACAGATAAACATTTAAATTATATACATAACACAAAGAGACAAAGTCTCACATATAACACTTAAAGTCAATAGACTCAACATGAAGTAAACACGAAGTAAACACGAAGAAAACACGAAGAAACATTTAAAGGGAAGGCCTCGGAGAAACATGAAACTTATACAAGTCAGTGCTCAACAGAAAGTAGTATAGAAACTACAATTACACTGACTCAGATAGAAATAGCTTATAAAAGCAATAAAACTTACTAGGGCATAGCCCAGACAATGTGGAGGCATACTAGCCTGCCACTAACGGTGAAGCTAAGACTTAATCACAAGTAGGTCAGATACTTCTTATCACCGTCAATGAAACTACTGAATCTAGAACTCACGAGAGTAAATAAAGGATGGTAATGAAGTCACAAGTAGGGATACAAAACTAAGTATGATTTACATTAAACTCACACTGACTTGGACATGTACTGCACCCAACATATAATAACACACAACAAATAATTTTGCTGACACAGCAAATAATTTTGCTGACACAGCAAATGATTTTGCTGACACAGCAAATAATTTTGCTGACACTAGGTAGTGCAACAGGTGGGCGGAGACGAACCACTTTTTTGGGACCACCGATCCCCTTATCCCTCCCTCTCTCCCTCTAAAAGCTTAATATGTGGTTAAAAATGCTTAATATTTGCTTAATATTAGTCTAAGTAGGTGTTGTACAATCAGTGATACTGGAAGTATCATCTGCTAAAAAGGGGGGGGTGAAAATGTAAAAGTAGAAGGGACGTTCGAAAAATAGTGGGGAGGCGCGCCGAAGGCGCGCTACTCCCCGCTCAAGTCGTTTGGGCGCCACTGACGGTACTTATTGGTTTAATCAAAATCAATTCCTTTGACCGCCAGATCCTAATCCTACACACATTACGACATTACTACTCTTCTCCTTCGTTTCACTCACCGTTGAAGTAGGCGCCAGTTGAGAGGAGGGGTGTCAACTGCACGCTGCTCTCCTCGTGGTGAGCTTCGGGGATAAAACATTTTCGTTTTCTTTTGTCAAGAGGAACCCGAAGCAATAGTTACCTTTTCACATTCCTCCCGTACCACTACCCCCC